TGAGCACCCGGTTTTAACGTTGCATGCTAACGAGCTGGTTTATTAATTAGTGTCTGCTGCTGACTTCGGTTGTACGCTGCGACCCTCGCTCCGAGGCCGGGCGCTTTGCGGAGGGTGTTGTGTTTGCCAAGTGCGTTCGTGGTTGACGCGTGAAGCTCCCTGCTGCTTGCCCCAAACACCTAATTCGGGCTCGAAGCTCTCGAGGGCCGGTGATGCTTTACACCGGAGCTCTGCACAAACCGCGGTACCTGCCCTGGTGGTTTGCTTTTTGTTTGTGTAATTAAATGTAATATAATTCTATGATTTTATAATCTGATGATGACCAGCTCTAAAGCTAGTTGTGCTCATGGGACTTGAAGACGTTGTTCAGGGGTTTGCTTGGTTTGGGATGCTTTCCTTCCTCTTGCTTCTGGATGTTCCTAAGGAGCATATAAATAAATGCCCCAGTGAACCACAGCTGTACAAATAAAAAGTGGTCGAACTGGTGCTTGTTTTCAGCCTGTGATGAAAACCTGGTCTAAAGCTTCAGATAGGAAATGATGTTCTGTGGGGTTTCTTGGCTTTTATAGTTACATTTTTAGGTGTACAGCTCTTACGATTTAGTGGTCTACTTCAGTATTTTAATCATTGGCTTTTATTTTGGTTGCAAAAAATATTGTAAGTTATGTTTAGAAATATGATTTATAATAGGTCTCAGTTGTCTCTTAGACCAGCACTTTGCATAGTTGTTCACCATCTGCTAGTATCTTTAAGAATAGCAGCTAAAGACTGGAATTTAGTCCCCAAAGGAGGTAAGAAGTTTAGAATCTGGCTCAGTGCCATTGCAGAAATGTGCACAAATAGGCAGAGAAGTTGAATAAGGAAGTTATCTGATGTGTAAGGGGTGGGCTGCAACATTTGCTGGTATCTGTTGGTTATCTCTTGGGCAGGACGGCTGAACTTGCAGAGGGAAAAGCAGTCTGTGGTGACAGGAAAGCAGCAGGACCCCTCACTGGTGCTGTCTCAGAAGGGCTTGCAGCATCATTGCTTTTATCAAAGCGTCTTTGCTGGCTGGCTTGGCCACGCAGCCTCATTTGTCCGATTTTTCTGCTCCTTCTTCATACTGACCATAACCGCCTGGAGGTGCAGGCATAGGAAGAAAGCCTCAGTGCGCAAAAGAGATCGTTCCAGCCTCTTAATCTCAAACATCTTGGTGGGGTTTTTTTTGTCTTTTTTAATGTCTGAAAAAAACCTGATGTACAATGCCTTGGTAAGTACAGAGATTCTGTCTATATGAATTTACATGAGATAATTGAGCCACTAATATCAATATGTTCTTGCAGTGCATAGCATGGTGGGGTTTTGATTGGTGGTTCTGCTTGCTAGGCATTAACCCAGCAATAAGAGGAACAATAGGAAGAGCTTGGTTGCCTGCTCCAGTTTATCTTGACAGATAAAAGCAGGGAATGGGTATTCTGCAGTATTTTTCAGAGCATATTGCACTATCTGCCACTCCCAAGCAATCAGTTAAAATCAGGCCAGTGTCACCACAAACTTAAATTTAATCCTATCTCGGAGATTTTACAACATTATTGGAGTGTTGGTCTTTAACCTGACCCTCAAGTCTAAAGCGAAGACCTTGGCAAGTGAGGATGCCAGTGGTGTAGGAGAAAGTCTGATCTCTCTGCATTTCCCAGGGGACCCAGGGCTCAGTCTTTGCAGTGCTGGCTGGTCATTGCAGAGGAGGGAGAAGACTGCTGGAATGATGCCTAGTGGTGTTTGGACCCACTCTGGGCTTTCTGTCCCATGTGTGTGAGAAGCCCAGACATAGCCAAGCTGGGATTGAGGTCTGGATTCTGCCACCACCAGAATCAGGCTGCCTCAGGGAGAGGACACAGCCACAAACTCACTACCCCTCTCTGATTAACAGATTATTTGCAATGAGCATCACTAGATAAGCTTTGTTTATGCAAGCTAAGGTGAACTCTAAGTGATGATGTGCTGATCTACAGCTTTTGACAGAGCCAGGTAGAGTCTTGGCTGCCTCTTCTGGCCAAAGACCCCTGTGCAGTCACTTGCTTGGTCATTCGCACCCTCAATTGCATGGTGGGGAAAAAACATCCTCTTGACCTTGTGTCAGCTTTTACCTCCTCTCCTATCTGTGCCACCTCACTGGTATCTATTGAGCTTTAATGTATTTTGTGCACTGCAGATAGTCAATGGATTGTTTTAAAAGTACAAACTCCCAGATTGCTGAAGTTTGCCTGAAACCTGGAAGCCTTGAGCATTCCAGTGTGGTTCCAAATGCCTAGTAAATCCTGGAGTGTGACAGAGACTCTACTTCAACGCTGCCAGACTATTTTTAGGGATGAAAATACATATCATTTAACATCAAGTTTGAGCACATGTGATGTTCTCATAATCAATCCTGTCCCAGCTGTTGCTTTCATTGTTGTTTTCCTTAAGTCCTGCTATTTCAGCCTGTATGGGTCCTGCAGTTCTGACCATTGGGGTTTTTCATGGTCTCAGACTGCAAGTGAGATCCTGTGTTTGAACTATTGGAAATCTAAAATGAATGAGAAAAATACGTGCACATTTTTCTCTTGCTTTACTTTAGGACAATGCAAATTTTAAGAGCATCATGTCTCACTGTACTCAAATGAATACCAAAAGGAAACAATAACATGTCATGAAAGACTGGCTGAGCGGATCTGAAAACCCTCCTGGCTGTGGGGTCTTACTGCTCTGGAGAGCCCCAGGCCTGTGAATGTAAACCAAAGCAATATGCAAAAGCAACCCCAAGGACAAAGCCTTTGCTAGGGAGTTACCTTCATAGCAGGCATGTCTCCAAACCCAGAGGGTTGTTCTACTTGAGCTTCCCGCCAGCCTTCCTCTCTGTCTGCATGGTGCCACAGTGGTACCTGTGCCCAGCCAGTGCCAGGGAAACTGGAGCCCTACAGTGAAGGGATCCTTCTTCACCACATGTAATAAGCAATAGGTTTTCCAAAGCTAGTAATTACATGTATTTATCAATAAAGCAAGCTTAAGAAATGGTGCTACCTGTGAGCAGATGTGAGCAATGCAGAATGCGGGGAGCTGTCAAATATCTGGTTGTGCACTGAGCAATCTCTGGCTTGGAATGGTCTTCCACCTTTGGAGCAAAGGATTTGGGGTTTTTGGTTTTTTGTTTTAGTTTGGTTTTTTTTTTTAAAGAGTTTTCCTTTACTGTTTCGGAAACCTTGCAGACTTTCTCCTGCAGTGACCTGTCCTTCCACTGGCAGGCTGGAGCACCATGAGGCACCATTTGCCAGGCAATGCAGGGAGGCAGGACTGAACAATCCTTAGGATCCAGATCTAGTCTTTAAATTGCACAGTGCTATTGTCACCTTCATTATTCCTCTCTGCTGTTTCAATGAGTTGCTACCTAGGTTTTTAAGGAACTAGAGATTTTGGTAATTCAGCAGAAGGATGTTGACAGTATTAAGGACTTAAAAAAAAAAAAAAAAGGTGATTCTTATCTTCATCAGTTGTTGGCCTCACGTTAAGAAAGGTTGCTGTAGTGGATAGGTATAATAACAGATCTGTGCACAGTGATAGGCACAGTGTGCTGAGGTGGCAGGTTTTTTTCCTTCTATGTAACAATGGCATTTAATTTTCGTATTATGTGCTGCTTTATGTCTCACCTGAGATTTTTCACCCTTAGGCCTGACATTCATCACCAGGCAGAATCGGTGCCTCAGCCAGCCAACATGACAGTACCGTTTGATAACTTGTCATGCCATCACTCCATCGATGACTTCCGAAACAGAGTCTACTCCACACTCTACTCCATGATCAGCATTATGGGCTTTGTTGGCAATGGGTTTGTGCTCTATGTCCTCATAAAAACATACCGGCAGAAGACAGCCTTTCAGGTGTACATGCTGAACCTTGCTGTGTCTGACTTCCTCTGCGTGGCCACCCTGCCCCTGCGTGTCATCTACTATGTCCACAAAGGAAACTGGCTCTTCAGTGACTTCCTATGCAGGGTCAGTTCGTATGCGCTGTATGTCAACCTCTATTGCAGCATTTTTTTCATGACTGCAATGAGCTTCTTCCGCTGCATAGCCATCGTTTTTCCAGTCCAGAACATCAATCTGGTACCAGAGAAGAAGGCTAAATTTGTCTGCATTGGCATATGGTTTTTTGTCACCCTGACAAGTGCTCCCTTTCTGCGGAATGGGACGTACCAACATGGCAACAAGACCAAATGCTTTGAACCCCCAGAAAACTTTCAGAAGACAAATTTAGTTGTGATCCTGCATTTTATTGCCCTAACTGTGGGTTTCATTCTTCCCTTTATTGTCATAACTATCTGCTACACCATGATCATAAGGGCCTTAATGAAAAATTCCTTGAAGAAGAACCGGGCTAAGCACAAGAAGGCAGTCTGGATGATCATCATTGTGACGCTCACCTTTCTGGTGAGCTTCACCCCATACCATGTTCTGCGTACAGTCCACCTCCATGTGCTGAGACTGAAGAATGCCAGCTGCGAGGATGCCATATACCTACAGAAGTCTGTTGTGGTAACGCTCCCATTGGCAGCTTTCAACTGCTGCTTTGACCCACTTCTTTATTTTTTCTCAGGGGACAATTTTCGGAAGAGACTTACCACGTTTAGGAAGGCTTCCTCCTCCAGCTTAACACAAGCCTTCAGGAAAAAGTTCTCCATAAAGGAGAAAGATGAGGAATTCTTTGGAGAAGGCCATAAGGAGAATGAAAAGGCAGCTGTGGCCCCTCCGTCAGGAAGCTAAATCTTCCCCCAGGATCTCAGATGGACAATGAAAATCTTGCAACTCTTACAGAAGACATGATGGAGACCTTCATAGCAGTGAGATATGTAATAACGGTGTATGGTCTGTGATTTATGCTACTTGGTGTTACAGCCACTGCTGGGGATGGCCAGCCCCTTCCCCAGGAGCACTGTTTGGACACAAACAGCCATTTAGGATGGAGGAGCCACCACCACACAGCACCAGAAAACTATTGATCTGATGATAAACTCACATAAGCAAACTCTTCAAAGCCTGTATTTGGGGATTAGCTTCATGTCACAGCTCAACAGAGTTTGTGTTGGTGGGAAATGTAAATGTTTGCTGCGCGCATTCAGGGAGCTACCAACAAATAAAGAGGGCAGAGTTTTCACTGGATTTTAAAACAGCTGCTAAATTATTTACACAGCAGAGGCCAGGATAATTCCTGCCCTGTTGCAGCTGCTTCTGCTTTGGATTGCAGTTTTCAAGATAGTTACGTGTGTGAGGCTTGCAGGGCTGGTGCCAGGCTCTGCAAACTCAGGAACTCAGGCTTGAAGCCCCTCACCCCCACCGCAGGAGCAGCTCTTTGGACATGTTTTCATGGGCAGTGGATCTGCCAGCATCTTCTGAATTTCTAGAAGAAACTTATCTGTGGGAGCAGTATTAAAATTGCAGTATCCTTGTGTCCATTTGAAACCTATTTGAATGGGGCTGGTCCTGGAAGTGATGGATTATCACTCCAGTTCTTCGGGAAGCATAGGTCTGGGTGCTCGGAGTCAGTGCAGGATCAGGCCATTCTGAGATATTGATCAAGTTAAAAAACAAAACAAAACAAAGAGAAGTTGTTTTTTAAAAAATAGCTATATATAATACTTGACCCTGTTCAAGAGCGTTCACCTTCCTCACATCTTGCAGAAAAGGGGCAACCCAAGGCCCTTAGAAAGATCTCTAGAAAGACCTGGAGATCCAAAGTCTGAGTCTGGATGAGATGTGAAAGAATCTTATTTTGAGTACAGTATGGTAGAGGACCAGATTGGGCTATGTTTCCTATGCAAAGAAAAACTTCAGTGTCTTGGACAGAAGGAGATATTTCTGTGCTTTTCCAGTGACACCCATGGGAAAGCAGGGCTTCCTGCCTTTTGCAGGAGCAAACCCCAGCCAGAGATGTGTGATGCTTCAGAAGTGAAACACAAATTCTTGTAGGATTAGGACTCCTAGTGCGAAAAGTTGTTGATAAATCAATAACAAGTATGTTTTGATATGGTATTTATGATGTTACTTGATGTTATCTTAAAGAAAACCATTTTAATGCTGTAGAATAGGAGCGAGCAAAGTGAGTTTGGCTTGGGGTAGGGGTCTGCTTGAGAAACTCTTTACAGATACACAGATGAGTATGGTCACTATTTACACCACACTACGTCTATCCCTGGGTCATCAAAAAGCACTTAAAAAAGGTAAATTCACCTTCAGACAATTTAAGGAAGTGAATTTACAACAAGATCTGAAACCCCTTTATAAAAATTGCAAAGATGTGTGAAGTGGAAGAGGGCTGGAAGCTGCTGGTGTACAGGAGTGTTGCAGTTCCCCCTAAAAACAGAGGAAGGCAAAACTCCTAACTCACAGCTAGACCTGTAGGCTGCTATGAGAAAGTGAGTGAGAGTTGGCTAAAGCTTCTTTTCAAGGCTAAGCATTGAGTATTATAGTTAAGTTTCTGGGCATTAAAGGCACTGTGCAACTGTAAATAGAAATAATGGAAAACTGAGTTTAAGAATATGTAGGAATAATATGCATATTCCCAAATCTTAAAATATTGTATAGTAAAGCACCATTTATATATATATTGCAAAGCATTTCTATGTACCACAGGTATTCTACATACCAGAGGTATTTTTTTTCCCTTTTTTATTTTTTTAATGAGACAATGGTTATAGCAAGAGAAATGGCAGTGGTTTTGTGCAATACGGAAGACTATTTAAAACAAACTTCCTGAAAATTAAATGATGATGTTGCAAGTAAAATGTTAACAATTACTGTTTTCTGTCTTTGCATACAGATTCTTACTCCCTACAATACATTTTTGTCTACATACAGCACTAGCGTAATACTTGCATACTGATAATTTAGAAGTATATATGTGAGGGGACATGCTGGCTTGGAGCTGGAGTTTGCTCCAGTCAGGCTGGCATTTGCTGTAGCCCAACTCCAGAAGACTTGGGGCACCATCTGAGGGCAACTGGGGTCTTGGTAGGTTTTTCAGAGGTGGAGCACCCTAACAAATAGCTGGGACCTGCTATAGATTTCTATTTACAGGTAGAAAATGCTTGCAAGACACCTGGAAGGAAGTAATGCTTTTGGTGAGCATGATATATTTGGGTGTCCTGTGTGGTCATGTATCACGCACGGGTTCCTGCATGGAAAAGTCTCCCAAGAATGACATTTTCTACTTAGTTTTTCCCAAAATAGATTCAGGATGTGCAGAATGTTATTTAGTTATAAAACTCCAACCCATACTGGTGAGGAGGGAGCTTTGCTGTCATCTTCGCAGAAACCTAGCTCCAGGTGAGAGGTGAGGGCAGTTATCCTCTGCTTGTGACTTTGCCTTGTGGCACATAGACAAGTGCCATCCTGGCAGCAAATGCTGCTTGGGTTTTGCTCAGGAATAAGGACCTGGAGAGAAATAGGTGCCAATAAATGGGAGCCGTTACTTTCATAAGGTGAATTAGAAATTGTGACATTTGTATGGGCTGTAAAGAAAATGACAAGAGGTGGGAAGAGGGGACAAAGTGCCATCCTGCTACAGTGCTGGTGTCAGAAATGCCTAAAAAAAGTAAGATGTTTGGTTTCTTCCTTGAAACGGGAATATTTTTTTCTGCTGTATATGCTGCAGTTTATGGTACAATAGTGTCCCCTAGTGCTGCATTATTCCTGGAGCAACTGCCTGTTGCCTGATGAGGTTTCTTCTTTTTCTAGATGGTGCAGTCCCAGCTCATTGCCTGTAACGTTTCTGTGCTCTGGTGCTGGTCACACTCAATTCCCCCTTTCCTGCCCCCGTCTGCATTTTATTTCATAATCTTTGGGTTTTCCCTCTTGCCTTCCTCTTGCTTTTTTTTCTTTTCCTGGAGGGAAGGACCCATCCCCAAATGGCTGCAGAGACCCCAGGTCCCTCTTCCTGCCCTGGACTCCAACAGCACCATCCACCTTCTGTACAAAATGCTGTTACTCCATTGTATGGCTATCCCAGCACGGAGCCTGGACCCACAAAGCTTTTGTTGGAAGTTGGAGGTAAATACAGCCCTTTGGCATCACATTGCCATGACAGAAGTCCCGGTCAAGAGATTTGCCACACTGCTGTAATGCTGAAGAGATGGGCTTTGCCTGTGCTAACCTTTCACTTACACACTGCCTGATACGGCAAATAACAATAATTCAGTGGCTAAATTAGAAAGCAGTATTTGTACTTGTACTGCAGTATTGTTTCTATTTGCTCGAAGATGGAAAAATAACTGGAGCATCATAAGCACTCCCAACCAGATGCCTTGTCATTTCTGACCATCACTTGCTGTGCATGTCAGTCTGAAGCTTTCAGAGACTTGGAATCATGCCTTCCAAACCATCACTTAATACCATCTGTGTCTTTTCCCATTGCATTGAAAAGTCACCACCAGCTTTTTAGAGTATGAAATGGAATAAAATGTTTAAATACAAGAGAGAAAAATCTGCATCATATCTCAATGGAAGTAGCAATATTTTTTGGGCCAGGGATTACAGCATAGCAGATAACATTCAGATTCCTTAATGGGAAATCAAGGTAGAGAGTTTCACTTAATAAAGAAGAACTCCTGGTCTAGCAGCTGTTCAAGATATGGTGCCTCCAGACAAAAAACCCCTCTCTCCTTCATCTTTTGAAGGGCAGGTTTCAGGATAAACTTCTGTGCAAGCAAAGAGAACCAAACAGGCACTGTTTTGTCTTCATAAGAGGCTAAAATGTGATTTTATTTGTGCTTATTTTTAGAGAGGTCCAAAGCAGCCACCTGCTGCCAGAAGCTAACCACAAACTAGATTTCTGTTTTCAAAAATAAAACAATCTTTCTGTTTCCAAGAGAACAGTGCAAACCTTGGTGTCCAGTAAATACTGGCCTTGACTGCTCTGTGCTTTTCTTCATCAGCTGCTTGGGATGGGCATCCCCACTGCAGCCTTCCCCCAACATGCTGCTTGTGCAGGATTGTCAACAGGACTCCTCCTTCCTCTTTGCTTTTCTTAATGGTCTTCTTGAGCTATGGTAAAATCACCTGACACTGATTGCAGGGAGAAGGGCACTTTCTGATTTCTCCTAAGCTATGTGCCCCTGTACACGATCAGACAGAACTACTGGTTACTTCTGGAAGCATGAAGTTTTGGGGGAGTTTTCTCCCCGTATGTATGTATATATTTGATCACACTATAAATCATAGAAGATGACATCGTATTTCCAATACTTGATGGCATGTCTATCTTGTTTACAAGCCTTTGGTGGTCTTTTTTGCCTCAGGCTGTAAAAACACTCCCTTTTTTCACACTTGTGATACTATAGCAAGTTGTCATTTGAGGTTTTATAGCACTGCACCATTTTTGCCTGCTATGGGGGTAAATTCCAATGCCACAGGCTGGGAAGTTCAGAAACGACGTATAGGATGTAACCACCCTTATTGTATATGTAGCGTCTTCACATAAATATTTGCAAGATATGAGAGCCTTCAGTTTAACAAGCAATAAACTTCAGCCACTGGCAATAAAGAGAGATTTCCTGCTCCGAGTAAAATGCTTTTTCCCCTACTGTCTGCGGGAGCCTGGACATGTATTTTGGGTCTGAAGGGGCTCAGTGCTAGAGTAGCTCGCACTACCTGATTCCCCCCCTACCATCTGCAATTGGGGTTTGTACACCAAGGGGCTGCAGATCCCTTAGCAGGAACTAATTCTCACACTGAATCCTAATTTAGCCAATTTTTTTTTACCCTTTTCCACTGTGGTCTGATATTTGAAGAGGGAATTCTTCGATATGGCAGGAGGGAGAACACTGGGATCTTTATCTTTCACATACAACAGTGGAGGGTATGACCTGGTTACTGGTGGGGGTGGGGGGCGGGAAGTAGCAAAAATGAAGAAAAGTACATCACATTTTAAAATACCATCACTGTAAGGAATAAAATCTTACTTACAGCATGAGTGTAAGGACTAAAATGCCTTAGAAGTGCTACTGAAAGCAAACCTGAGGGATGAAGAGCCCAGCCTGCTGCTTGGGATTACAAATCCATCTCCTGGTGCACAGGTTGGCAAGATTGGGAACTCAATCCTATTTCTCCCAAGCTATTAATTTCAGCTCTACGAGTGGCCACATGCACAAAGAAATATTTGGAGTATTTTCAAACTTCACTTGAGGGTGAAATGTGCCTGTTTCTTTCCTGTCAATGTGGCTTCTTAAGCTTCAAAGGAAGCTAGACTGCCTCTGGAGTAAAGCAAAGACACTTTGTTAGTCAAAAACTCCACAGGCGAAACTCCACGGGCACAATCCAGCACCCATGACAAGGTGGCCCAGAAGACCTGCCCCAAAGCAGACCCATGGGTCATGCACAAGGGCTGCCTGATCCCATGCTGCACTGGACTTGGGGTGGGCAGAGGCTTTGTGCTGAATTCAGGTGAATTTTCTGCTTTGGGATGCAGGGTGATGACTCCAGTCAGGGTTAATCATATCCTGTGGTAGGAAAAACAGGCTTTGGGGATGTGAACTAATAAAACAGAGGCACTGAGAAACAGTTGCCAAAGCCCTGGGGGACAGTTCTGCACATCCTGAGGTCCGGGGTACTTTTATCTTGTGATCTACCAGGAGAACTGGTAGATCACAAGATAATCACTGCCTGTTCAAATCTGAATTGCACTGCTAATACCAAGCTGACTGTAGAGTTTGTTTTCACTGCCATTAAAACAAAACCTGATCATTATAATCTGGGGTTGTTCCAAGGGTCAGCAACTGTCCCCAGTGCATCTGCACGAGCTCTGCATTGCCGTGCAATGGCTGGTCATAGCAGGGGACACTTTGGCAGGTCAGGAGAATGGACAGCCATAGAAAGCAGGACCAACAATTCAGCAGTGGCATCTGCCCAAATTAAACCTCTAAGTACAGTAACTCTCTCCTGTGGTGGGAAGTTCTGATGAAACCCAGCTCCCTGCAAACATTCAGTACTACACATAAATAGAAAGGCACAGATCTTATCAGCCTCTGCAGCTTCCAGGGAGCAGTGCCTGAGCCCGCAGCCTCCTCCACGGCCACTGACCCTGGAGCAGGGTTACATATATTTGAATTTTCCCTGTTTATTTCTACCGCTTCTACTTCTGAAACAGTTATACTCCAATGAGGAGGGCTGTAGCAAGAGATACTGCTTACACTTCATGCTTACAGAGGACACACTTCATTAGGAAATTAACTCTTCTTAGTTAGAAGGAAGTTATGAGAGTTAATGGGTAGTTGCAAGGGAAAAAAAAAATAAATATAGGGTATTAGCCATCAAATCTAGAAAAACTTTCTCTGTGATAGTCCTCCTGCATCCAGGCAGACAGAAAGGAGCAAAATACCATAGCTGTGGCCAGGCCATCTACAAGGAACTTCTTGATTTTGATTCAGGTATCTTGCCTGCTTTGTCTAACCGAAGTGTTCTCTGGGCAGCAAATAGAAGGAAGGTGTTCAACCCCTTCTCCACCCCACTTCCCCCCAAATAAAACCCCAAGAAGGGTGATAATAAAAAGTTAATGTTGAGAATTAATCAAGAATTCAGACCAGGGAAGCCCAACAGCTTCAATCCCAAATTTAATTCAATCACACAAAAAATATGTAAATGCCCCAAGCCCCGGTTTCCCTAGAAAATGGAGATCTTTACCAATTACCAGCTCTTTATCCTAATGACAAAGTTTATGTCAATACAAACCACCCATGCTGCACTCTCCTGGGGGTGTTGGGAGAGGGAGTAAATTTAGGGCTGTTTGAGAATATAGTAAATCGAGGCATTTGTTTGTTTATTTTATGTTAAACTACAGGGACATTATGTTCAGTGCAGAAACACCACAGAAGAGCACCACCTTTATTATCCCAGCTTGCATAAACACAGTTTTGGCTCCTTTTGGATGAAGAGATCTATATTTAAATACTCATGGCTCTTATAATTGTTTCTGATACATTTTGTATATAAATACAAACCTACTTACCCAAGGGCAGAGGTGAAAAGGCAGCTACACTGCACGTGAACAACAGATTCCAGTGTTGGAGAGACATTTTCTCTCCCAAAGACATAAGGGGTCAGGGTCTGTTTGCAGGCTCCCCTGGGGTGGCACCAACAGCATTTTGTCCATCAGAAGGATTTTAAAGCCTCACCATGTAACCTTCAATAAGACGAGGAATTAGCAAACCTCATTGTCCTGGGTTCAGCTACAGCAGTCATTTTTTCTCCTTCTTAGTAGCTGGTGCAGTGCTGTGTTTTTGACTTTCAGTCTGGGAACAATGCTGATAACACCGATGTTTTTAGTTGTTGCTAAGTAATGTTTACTCCAACCAAGGACTTTCTCAGTCTCATGCTTTGCCAGAGAGGAGGGGAAGCCAGGAGGAAGCAGAGGCAGGACACCTGACCCAAACTGGCCAAAGGGGTATTCCATACCACAGCACGTCATGCCCAGTATATAAACTGGGGGGAGTTACCCGGAAGGCCCAGATCGCTGCTCGGGTCGGGCTGGGTATCGGTCGGCGGGTGGTGAGCGGTTGTGTCCTTTTCCCTTGTTATTCCTCTTATCATTATTACTGGTAGCAGGAGTGGTTTGTATTATACCTTAGTTACTGGAGAGCTGTTATCTCAACTCATGGGAGTTCCATTCCTCCGATTCTCCTCCCCATCCCTCCGGGAGCGGGGGGAGGAAGGGAAAGGGGGGGAGTGAGCGAGCGGCTGCGTGGTTCCAAGTTGCCGGCTGGGCTTGAACCACGACACTCATTGATAGACGTTGTGACAAAAGGCCAGCCTTGTGTGAGTTTTACCCCTGCCTGTGTGGCCAGTACTGCTGGAGAACACCACACTGCTGGGGGACACCCTGCTGCTAGATGACATGCTGCTCTGCCAGCATGGTGTCCTGCAATTAAACACTACTGGCATGGCCACAGCACCCAGCCATGACATTTTGGGGAAACAGCTGAAGTGACTTGCAGAGGGGAAGTGAAAAGGGTATTACTTCATTTTTTTCTGAAACAAGAGTCCAATAGTTCTCTCAAATTTGTGCTCTGTTTTTTGGTTTTAGAGAAATGGCTGGAATAGATACTGAGGACACTTGTACATGGGGGAAAGATTTGGGTTTCTGCTTAGAGGCAGCCCTCCTGGGGTGACTGGCCATAGTAGATCATTCACGGGTACAAATATTACATTTTTAGAGGCTTTACCTCAGCTTCATTTGAAATGCTTGGGATCAACATGAGCAAACAGGGTAATTTCAAAGCTGTTATTGCTCACACTATGGTAGTTCAGGTTGTGCTGTGACACTGTGCTACACGGAATCACTCTGGGGTCCCTTCCCTCATGCATTTCACAGTGTGCAATACTGCTTTACCTGGCACCATACAGAACGAGCTGTAAGTGGGATGCAAAGCAAAGTGTTTCAATTTGCTGGGTTTAATGGTGATTGCTATTTGCACCAGCTATGACATGGGACCTGTGCAGCTGTGTGGTGGCCAGGGCAATGCTCATCACTGAGGTTTGACTGACTTACCCCTCACTGTAGCAGAGGAACATTTGGCTCAGGAGCCTCAAATCAGTTTCCAGCACATAACAGCTTATCACCCCTCTCTTACAGCACTAACAGAAAACTGTCCTCCATCCCTGCTGTGCTATCTCACCCCCGTTATCACAGCAACAGAGTGACCTCTAACAAACTCAGGCTCCTAACTTCCCTGTTGAGCAGGGAGCAACTGTTATTCCCAGTGTGTAAAAGAAGAAGTGAGGCAGTGACTGATGCTGGAGCACAAGGCCACCCTCAGCCACCTTCTGCCAGCTGAAATGTTTGTCCTAAGGTCACCACCAGCAAGACCACTGTGGTGACCAGAAGCATTGCCCAGTCAGGCTCCAGGCGCAAGGCAGCTTCAGGGCATGCAGTAACAGAACTGCTCTATACACTGCTTACATCTCGCTTTCCTTCTTCTGCTTTTCCTGCAGATCATGAGAAATGTAGTGCTGGAGTGTCAGACGAGCCCCATGTCAATCTCCGTGGATGACCTCAGTTGGCAGCTGCTCGAAGCCTCGCTCACAGCCTTCGGAGCTGCCGAGGAGCTTTTGGAAAGGCTGTGTAAAGCCTCCCCTCTTCCAGCAGTCTCCATCACAAGGCATTCACAATAACTGCAGCGAGCTAGGCAGTGCACATACTTTTTTTCATAGCAAGAGAAGATGGAGAAGGTGGGAAGAGGCCAATTTTTTTTCCTGCTTTCTCATGCACAAAAGGGTCCTTATTCATTTTAATAGCAGGTTCTCTCACACAGCAATCTCCTCTGTTAGCCAGACAGCGGAGAAAGACTCCTTATGCAGCTACCTCATGCAGAATAATGCTGCTTAGACTTTTCCATCTGGTCTCTGAGGACGGGAAACCAGACCCATGACAATCTCAAAATGGAGAGCATTAGTCCCGAACAAATAAGTAGATTGCAATAATGGATACAATATGGAGGTTTCCTTGAGGAGCCAATATTTGTGTTCTTCACAGCTGCATCTTTTTCTGTTTCTTTTTTTTTCTTTTTAGCCAGAAGTGCTCCCAAACGCTTCATGCCATGTGGCTGCTTCTTATTTGCATCAAAGACCTGATTCATTGCTGCTCTGCACTTCGATAGATTCTGTATGCTCCTGCAAAGCAGATATAAAACGCTCATCGGTGAGCCTCTTCTGCAGTGGGGCAGACACCGATGCGACACAGAGCAGACAGTGCTCCAGCTCCAACATGTCTGCTGAGTGCTGCAACTGGAAGATGAACCCCCAGTGCACAGCAGGGGCCCCTGGGCCTCCATCAACTGAAAACAACAACAACCCAAAAAAAAGCAATGGAAACAATAATGAGGAATGGGGTTATTGTAGGAAAGAGCAAGTAGGAGAGGTTGTTTGGGGACAGCGAGGAAAATGCCAGATAGGAAAGAAACAGTGCTCTGAAGAAAGACAATGGAGAAATAGAGTGAAACAATTGAAAACCCATGTTAAAACAGAACAAGCGGATCCCTGATCACAGGTGAGCAGCTTTTCACAATGGTGCTACAGCTTTGTTCACTTCCAGCACACACAGTTGAGGGGATGCAAATAAAACTCTTCATGTACACAGTTAAGCTGAAACTTCAGTCCCGATGTGACACCACATGAGAGGTAGTTTTTCACTCCCTAAATGTGAAGTGGGGGTGAGTTAGAAAATGGGCAGTGGCCAGAAAAATAAGTGAACCTGCACCACCTAATGAAAGGTAAGAAACCTGCATCTCATGCACAGCAGGAAACAACCCAAACAATGAGAAGAGCATCACATTACATTTGACACAAAAATATTTGTGGATTGCATCAGTCCTTCATTGCTGCTTGTTCACCTGCAGCTCATCCAGATATTGCCATTTAGAACAAGTTAAAAAAGAGATCAGTATTTCAACAACTAAAGCCTCAGCCTTTTGTCTGATGGAGAAAAATCAATTCCAAATGTGGAAATTTCAATACAGACTATAATTTTGTCACAATTCAGATTTATTCTGCTTGTTTTCTTTCTTTTTTGTCATTCCCCTCTTCTTCAGAAATTGGCTCTGATGCTTTGTTTTCATTCTTCAAAGACCCTTCGCAGCTGAGTTTAATGCAGCAGGAAATGAGCTCCTGCTCTGCCCAGCCCAGGGAGTGAACCCATTCCTTCCAGCTCCCCTATCTTTGGGATAAAAACAAATGACCCAGGTGTCTCAGCATCTTGCAGATTTTATCTTCGCGCAAAGCATGTCAATGTTGTTTTCCTAAACACTTCCAGTCTAGTTTATAAGAGCTAGCAGTGAACTCTTTCTGGCCTTCTCCTTTTCTCACTGGAGCAAGGACAAGCATCCTCCAGCTCTAACATGTTTAAATTACGGTTGTTTTGAGCATTTCTGAGGATCCAGCTACTCATATTACTTGGAGCTATGACTGCATTCACGTCAGGCCAGGCAAGCAGGCCAGTCTTGGCTCTGCTGGCACTGCTACCAGGTCAGTTAAGAACTGCCTGTGTATTTACCCTGGGAGCAATGCCTTCACTCCAGCTCCTCAGAGCCTGAGCTTTCCCCCCACTGAAACATCTGATGCATCTCCATGCGCTCTGGAGGTGCTGCAACTCCAGGCAGCAGGGCCAGGCCAGGCTCCTTCCTGAAAGGAGAAGCTGTTAGCAAGGAGATGGCATTTTAATTCAGCTCTGTGTTTTGCTCTGGAGCAAAAGGTATGGTACCACATTGTGTGTGCTTCCCCCAGTATTTGCTTGAACCTGCCTCTTCCCAGCATTTTGTTATGGCAGAGTTCTTGAGCCTGTTTGGGTTTTTAGGGGTTTTTTTTTTTTGTTTGCTTTTTGGCTTGGGGGAAGATTTATAAATTTATGGGTAAACACAGCTAGTGTTTGGAATTGCACTGAATTGGGATAATTGATTCCTATCTGGGCCCTTTGCTGAATAATCTGAGGACGAACTGAGCAGAAAGACCTTGCAGAAGGTGGTAAAGGCATGTGGGAGAGACCAGGGAGGTGTCCCACAGCCATCTCCTTCCATGGTGGTGCCACGTAAGGGCAGCAGCTTCCAGCTGGGGCTGTGAGAAGCAAGGAACGACTTCCCTACTAAAGGTGTTCAGGTATAGAAAGTGTTGGTGCTCAGGCAGTGCTTGAGGCCATGGCAGCCAGCTCAAGAGCTGGAGGGTGCCATGTTCCCTTTGGCCGGAAGGCCAGGCAGCTCCCATGCACTTCTCCAAAGCTCTGCAGAGCCACCAGGACCAGTTGCTACAAGTCCTCTGACAAAAAGCACTTTTTCCCTGGACTCTCTCTAGGGGCTCCACAAAGAGCAGACATTAAAGTGTTAATTACAGGGGCTAAGTTCAGCACAGACTCAGAGCTGCTGCTTATTTTAAGCAGGAAGTCATTTGGATGAAGACAGCCAAGAAGCTGAATGCTCCTGACTCTCACTCCTTCAGCCTCCAGGGATCCTCCTGCCTCTGAAAAGGCCCTTCCAGCCACTTTTCCCCCTCATTTCAAAAGCAGTTGGAGTGCAATTATTTTGCCATGGCTGATCGGCAGCCTGTGTTAAGCTCCAGAGGAGTCACACTGCATTTCAGTGCTCCGCAGTGTCCTCTTGTCATTATTTAGAGGCATCTGCTGGCAATGAGCAGGGTAGAAGCTCCAGCCTTTTCTACCTTGCATACAGAGAGGTCAGCAATGGGGCTGCAGCAATGAGCCAGGGGTTTATTCACTTTTTCTAACAGACCCTGTTGTGTTTCCAATGAACTTGGTCAAACCTGAAGGCTGGGGCAAATATCCGGGGTGCAGCTTGGCTTAGGACACACAGTGTTTGCACACACACTGTGCCATATAAGTGAGAGAAGGAATTGTAAAACATGTTCTATGCAAACTGCAAATTACCCATAACTGAACTTCATCCCTTGCCACTTAAAACAGCCATAAATGCAAGATATGTTTATTGTAGCTTGTAGAGGGCTTTTGTTCTGCACCTTTATCATTACTTTGTACCAACAGCATTGTGAGTCCAGTGATGACATGCAGTGAGTTCATGTGGGATTTTACATGAGAACTTCTATGCAAGTAGTTTCTAGTCTGCAGTCGTGGCTTCATGGGAGGGGTCTGGGCCCTGCTTGGAGAAAGGAGCACAGATAGCACAATGCAGTGTCACCTTCATCTCCATTACGTGCCAAACTTCTTTGCCAATCCATTCTGGCCTGTCCATACTGATGCCAAGAATCTGTTCTTACTTCTTCATCTCTCTCTGTTTTGTTTTTTTTCCCTCTAAGACACAACTGTTCCACTTGTACCAGGAATGTAAACCACTGCGCGCACTGAGAGGGCATAAAGTCCTCAAATCAAAAGAAATCAAAAGAAAATCTCCAAACTTGGTTTAATCTCTTCACTTAAAATGGCATTATTTTTTCATGATGTAGTGGACAAAACTACACAGAGCATGGAGAGGAGTGCTGGTATCATCCATAGCCTCTCTGATGGTATCACCTGTTTGCTTAGACAGTGTTGCTTTATGTTGAATCATTTCAGTTGGTGATGACTTGCTTCTGGGGTTCAATAGCAAAAAACTAGCAGATTCTCTGGAACAGGGATGATTGCGACCATGCATGCAGAGTAACAGGCATGCTTCACCTACCTGCAAGGGAAAGTCTCTCTCCCAATGCCCTACGGGCTTTTTCCCTTGTGCTTCTTTCAAAACGTACAGCACAGAGTGCTGATTTGCTCTCGATGGACCAGATCTTCAGCTGGAAAAAGCACTCCTAATTCCACCGGGGTGGATGGAGGGATGCCAATACATACTGGCAGAAAATCTGCTCCAGTATACACTGTTTACATTTGAGGATCTAAGAACATACACTTTCAACAAAGTGCTGTTTGATACAAGTTTGTTTGCTGGGTTGCCTTGCCTCAGTCTCTCCTGAAGTGTACACAACAGTATTTTGTATATAATAAAAGAAAATGAAGTGAATGCATTCCAAGACCTTGTTTGCAGGTCCTAACAATTCGAGAGATGGGAGGCTTTGCTAGACATTAGTTAAAATAACCATAATCATCATTATTATTGCCATGCAAGTATGGAAAATAAAATGTTTTTATTATGAGCTGGAACTAGAAACCAGAGCAGCTGCTAACCATCGTAAGTGGGTTGTTGGTTTGGAAGGGGTTTTGTGCATCCAGGTATTTACTGTGTCCAACTGTAAGCAGCAGGTTTTTGTTATTCAAGCTTTTCATCAACCTCCCCCACCCATGTTCCAATTGAAATATGTAGTAATTGTGATAGTCCTCTTATCTCTCTTTTCTTGCATTTATTGTAAAAGGCTTTTCTTTTTGATTTCTTTAATATGTCCACACACACTTTATTTTTATTATCCCAGAGCAGTCAAATTAGCAAGGAAAAAAAATAGAAATTGCAATTCAAAAATTCTTAATGGAAGAATTTGGCACTGCTTCTTGCCATTGTTTTGTTAAGATGGACTTTCCTTAACTCTCCTTTTTCATTACAGAGACTGGAATAATCTTCCTTTATAAGCCCAGATTTCTTCCCATTTGTACTCATTTCCCTCCCTCCTGACTCATTTCCA